GAGAAGGAGAAGGAGAAGGAGAAGGAGAAGGAGAAGGAGAAGGAGAAGGAGAAGGAGAAGGAGAAGGAACAACTACAGGAATATGCTATGATCTTGAATTTTGTGAACATGACGTATTGATTTTTTTCTTTTACTATGTAAATTGTCACTATTTGCTTCCTCACTGTATTGTATTCCCATAATGTCTTTTGCCCAAAGACCCAGCAGATGCACTTAACTGTTTATTTATTTATCTTCTGGGTTGGTCCATAGTCCCAACCTATTTGGGTCACTTACAAACTCAGAAGTTACTGGTTCTGGCTATGAATCCAGAAAAATCAGTAAATTCAGTAACCAGGGTAAACCTGTTGTGTGAATATAGGCATACCGTCTTAATGAGAAAGGAATTTACACTAAAAAAGATAACTGTTCTTGTTGGTTAGAATTTAGTTTAAGGAGAGAGTCAGTTTATGTATTGTTATCCATAGGGGTGGAGGAGATAATTGGCTCATGTTTAGACAAGAAGTGATCAAATTTGCACTTCCCAAACCAATATAAGAATACTTCAAAGTTTGTACCAAGGATTCATGAAGACATATATTGGAGGAAGAGGAATCCCAGCCATTTATCTTTTCAAAAAGTGCATTGAAAAATGCATGCATTAAAGCAATGTTTCTCAACCTTGACACCTTTAAGATGTGTGACTTCAACTCCCAGAAGTCCCCACCCAGCTAGTTTTCAAGGTTGAGAAACACTGCATGAAAGAAACATCCGTACCCACAAAGGGTATATGGGTGAAACTAGTACAAAAATGCAGTATGGCATGCAACATGCCTGGCAGAAATTTGCACATTAGGATAAGTATGTACTTTTATTACATAGATTAGTGGAATCTTCTTCTCCTTGAGGTGAGGTTGGCCTCATAGCTTCTGAGCTTCCAAAGGTCTCTCAAGATTTGGTTATGTCAGCAGGCCTGGGGATGGGTGAGCTAGTGAGGTGGCTCTGCTATTATTAACATCCCTTTGTCTACTCTTGTTTTAGCTCAGTCTTTATAGTTTTTGATGTTTTAATTGTTAATAATTAGAGTGGTTTTTAGGTATTGCTGTTTTAACTTTGCTGTAAGCTGCCCAGAGTCGCTGGTAAAAGTGAGATGGGCAGCTATATAAATTGGATGGATGGATGGATGGATGGATGGATGGATGGATG